GTAGTAGTAGTAGTAGTAGTAGTAGTAGTAGTAGTAGTAGTAGTAGTAGTAGTTAGTAGTAGTAGTAGTAGTAGTAGTAGTAGTAGTAGTAGTAGTAGTAGTAGTAGTAGTAGTAGTAGTAGTAGTAGTAGTAGTAGTAGTAGTATAGTAGTGTAGTAGTAGTAGTAGTTGTCGTCGTCGTCGTCGTCGTCGTCGTCGGTCGCTGTCGTCGTCGTAGTAGTAGTAGTACTACTACTACTACTACTACTACTACTACTACTACTAGAAGTAATCGTAGTCGTAGAAGTAGTAGTAGTGGTGGTAGGAGTAGTAGTAGAAGTAGTAGTAGTGGTAGTATCAGTAGTAGTAGTAGTAGTAGTAGCAGTAGTAGTACTAGTGCTAGCAGTAGTAATAGTAGTGGTAGTAGTAGTAGTAGTAGTAGTAGTAGTAGTAGTAGTAATAGTAGTAGTAGTAGTAGTAGTAGTAGTAGTAGTAGTCGTAGTAGTAGTACGTAGTACGTAGTACGTAGTACGTAGTACGTAGTACGTAGTACGTAGTACGTAGTACGTAGTACGTAGTACGTGGTACGTGGTACGTGGTACGTCGTAGTAGTAGTAGTAGTAGTAGTAGTAGTAGTTGTTGTCGTTGTTGTTGTTGTTGTTGTAGTCGTAGTAGTAGTAGTCGTAGTAGTAGTAGTAGTAGTAGTAGTAGTAGTAGTAGTAGTAGTAGCAGTAGTCGTGGTAATATGATGAGTATGAACATCATTATTAGTAATGCTGTGGTTATAACATTTCATACCATCATTATGATCATCCCTTCCTCCTCCCCCTCAGCCTCAAAGGGGTACTCAGATCGGCCCCAAAAAACTGTGCCGAATGCGTAACCTATCATGTATCAACGGCAGTAGCAAGGAGGAGGGCAACGCAGAGCCCGCAAAGCGGGTGGCCAAAAAAGGATTCCAAATCAGGGCGCACCGAAACACCATTCCAAGAGCGGCAGCGCGCAGCGATAATGTCAAGAGTTGCGGCCCTCGGCTTGGCAGCAGACCAGCATAGTGGCTGCCAGGGACTCCGTTCATAATGGTACACGGCAGGATAGGCCGGAACGCCACCTCCCGCAGGCGTGGTTATTGGGCAAGACTGGGGCGGTGTTGCACATACGCCGAGACTGTATGACGTTAAGCTTTATCACACCCTCGCGGCAGAAGAAATAAACATATGAATCCAAGAGTAAACGTATCGTTACAATGTGCGGGGAACCATACGAGAGACCATACAGCAGACCAGACTGGAGACCATACGGAAAACAACTGGAAACAGGTGGACACAACGGGCGAATACGGGAGTCAACGGGAGATACCGGGAGACGACGGGAGACAATGGCGCCCCACCGATTCCAGATCATGGCAGTCCCGTGTTAGATTTATGGTAGACATGAATTCGTACATTGGCAGACATTTGTTGAGGGAATCTATTTGCAGCCCAGCGGAGTATTTCTGTATGCACGCGCTGACGACCATATTCCATACCCCGGTTGGCCTTGGATTGCTGCTCCGCGACAGAATAAAAAGTCAAGCCTGGCATGTATTGCGTGGCGCGCGGCTGTGGTGAACACTGAAGGCATGTTCTGGGTTTCGCAGTGCGGCTGCGGCAGGCCAACTTGCTTAAGGCGTGCGACGTAACATCTTGGTCCTCCTCCGTTCCTCTGTCCTCCTTCCTCTCCGCTCTCCGCCCCCTCCCTTCCGCTCGTCTCCCCCAGATGTGTCCTCTTCTTCCCTTCGTGCTCTTCTTGGCTTCTCCTCCCCCCTCCTCGTCCAGCCTACTACCTCGCTCCTCCGCCCGTCGCCTCTTCCTCTCCTGTCCTCCTCCTCCTACTCCTCCTCATCTGTCTTCCTGCGTCTCTCCTCCTCTCCTCCCCCCCCTCCCAGTCGAGACGGAGGAGGAGGCGGAGGAGGAGGAGGAGGACAGAAGGGATGGAGGCGGGTGAGAACAAGACAAGAAGGAAGAGGAGGAGGAGGAGGAGGAGGTGGAGGAGGCGGAGGAGGAGGAGGAGGAGGAGGACAGAAGGGAAGGAGGCGGGTGAGAACAAGAAAAGAAGGAGGAGGAGGAGGAGGAGGAGGAGGAGGAGAAGGAGGAGCAGGTCCGCGAGCAGGAGCAGGAGGACGACGAGGTGGAGCAGGAGCAGCAGGGTGAGGTTGAGGAAAACGGGGAGGAGTGAGAGAGAAGAGGAGGGGTGGAGGGGCAGCGGGAGGGGGAGGGAGACGGGTCGGAGAAAGTGGGGAAGGAGGATGAGTTGATTTAGTCCCAGAGCGCTGTGAGCCAGGTAACGGGAGTGCTGCTTGCCGGGCGCGGCGCGACGGGCCGCTTTCTAAGCAAATCTGGGGCGTTGACAAGTCGTGAACGCCCACCCGCGCGAGTGGAGCTCGCCGGGGAGGCCGCGGGGGGGGGGGGGGAGTTGATTTGGCCACACCCCTGCTATGCCTCAGCTTCATTTGCCTAACTTTACCGCAGCTGTTCTGGCCGTGGTCACCAACGACGGGAGCGCCCGCCCGCCCGCGCGCCCGCCGGCCGGCCGGCCCTCCTCCGAATGCCGTGGTCGCTGCCATAGCTCAACGGCGCACTCTAGCACCGCGCCGAGGCTACAAGGAGGTCGTCACCAAGACGCCGTTCAGATCTGAGCGCGAAGCTACTGCAAGGAGAAGATCACCACGAAGAACATGCACACGCTCTGCTGTCTAATCGGGCTGCGGAAGCTCCCCTCCTGACGGAGAGCTGGCAAAACATTGGATGGGCAGGAGACGGCGATACCTGCGGCGCTGGCGAAGACGGCGAGGACGGCGATGGCGACGGCGATGGATGGCGACGATAGAAAATACCACGGTGGTGGCGACAACAACAACTATTCGAATCCATTTCGTTTTGAGCAGCTCGCATGCCATTTTCCGCGTATATCCCACCCCCTCGATACCCGCCCTTCTCGTCCTCGATCATACCTCCTTTGGGGTATATCTCCCATAGCGGACACGCGCAGTTGGCGCAGCCCCAGAAGCAGGGGAAGTTAGGAAGGAGGGAGAGGACAAGGGGGAGGGAGAAGGATTGAACACGAGAGTGATTAGCAGGAGGATGATTAGGAGCAGAACAACAATAGGCATAACCAGACGGACGGATCGGGCGGCGGATCCTAGCGGCCGGGCCAAGCGGACAGGTCGCTGAAGCGTCATGTTTGCGCGAATCGCCCGGAATGTGTTAACGACAGCGCGATTTCCGAGTAAACCATGAGCAAGTCCAAAACGAGAATGTGAGTCTTGAGTGTTTGGAGCGCGACGTCTCCAGAAATTGCGAGGGAGTGCCGCGCGATAGCGCGATTCCAGAGTATACTGTGAGGACGTATTGGGAGAGAAATAGATCGTGAAGAAGTATCACGCGGGAGCCGTTGCATATTCATTTCTAAAGGATAATTGTTGTGGTGCATATTTTGTTTTTTCCATTGGGGTGCTTCTCCTGGGGTTCGAATTCTCGTCGCAAGGGGTAGTCTCGAGGCTCGGATTGCGCCCCTGGCCCCCGAATTGCAACCGCAACGGCTCCCGCCAAATGCTTCTTCACAGCTCGTTTCAAAATCGTGTTCTCGCGCGGGACAAGGGCAAATTCTACGCAGACATAGCGCTCTCGCGTGGTATTTTCTTGCCATGTATCCAGACGCCGCCGTGCCCCCAAAACTCCTACATCACGCTCTCGACTTGGCCTTCCTGACGACTTACTTGGGAGTCGCGCTGGCGCTCGACATTTCCTTACGATTCATGTTGGAACGACGCTTCAGCGACCTGCGCGCTCGACCCAGCAGTCCGGGCCCGCCCGCCCGCCCTGCCCATCAGGTTCTGCCCGCACGGCCCGCCCGTCTGGTTTTGCCGCTTGCACCCCTGCTCCCTACCCCCCTCCTGCCATCCTTCTCCCTCCCCCTTTGTCCCTTCCATCCTCCCTCCATTCCCTTGTTTCAGTGGCTGCGCCAGCTACGCGTGGCAGGTAAGGAATATGTACCCCCACGGGGGGTTCGATTGAAGACGAAGAGGGGCGGTATGGAGGGTGTGATGTACTTGCGGAGTGGCACACTACCAGATTAGCGAACAGTCTTACGATGATCGTTGTTGTTGTTGTTGTTGTTGTTGTTGTTGTTGTTGTTGTTATTGTTCGGGGCCAGGGGGCCAATCTGAGCCGATTAGCTTCCCTTGAAGAATACTGAGTGCGAGCCCCACGAGGAGCACACGACTTGAGAAAAACACAGGGTGCACAGGAGGGTGGATCAACTAACATTGTGTTTTTTGTTAATGGAAATCCAACGAAGGTGACGAAACAGATGGTGACGACGTAGACGACGACGGCGACGAAAATACGACGAGGAGGCGGCCGAGGGCCTCCAGAAAGTCACCTGGAGCCCCTGGAGATGCACCAGCCCCCTCAGAGGCATCCAGGACACAAAGACTCCCAAAAAGCTCCGATGCCCTCCCTGAAAAGGAGGACCAGCAGGCGTAGAAGCAGAACAAGAGCAGCAGCAGCAGCAGCAGCAGCTGCAGGACCCTTTGGTGGTAAGACAGGCATCCCAGCGCAGATGCGCCGACCCTTGGCCAGGCAGCCCAAGCCGCCGCGCCTGACCGATGACGGCGACGACGGCTTCGGCGCCGACGACGACGACGACCATTACCAACAACACCACCGCGTCTACGACGATCACGGACGACGAGGTAAGACGTCGACGGCCACGATGCCGACATCGCCGACGGCGACGGCGACGACGCCATCGACGCGACGATGACGACGACGACGACGACGACGACGACGACGACGACGGCGACGACGACGACGACGACGACGACGACGACGACGACGACGACGACGACGACGACGACGACGACGACGGCGGCGGCGGCGGCGGCGGCGGCGGCGGCGGCGGCTGCGGCTGCGGCTGCGGCTGCAGCTGCGGCTGCGGCTGGCACCCGCTGGAGCCACAGCGCCGCCCGCCGCGGGCCAAGGCTCGTCCTCCAGGCCTTGGACCAGGCGCACTGGGGCGGTCGTCGTTGTCGCCGTCGTGTCCTCACTGCCGTCGTCGACGGCATCGCCGCCGTCGCCGTCGTTGCTGTTGCTGGGGCTAGCGCTGTCGTCGTCGTGGTCGTGGTCGTCACCACCGCCGCCGTCGCAGGCGTCGCCATCGTCGTCGACGCCGACATCTTCGTAGTGGTCGTCGCCGCCGCCACCGCCATGGTCGTGGTCGTCATCGTCGTCATCGTGGTCGTTGCCACCGTCAACGCCGCCGTCGTCGTGGTCGTCGCCGCCGCCACCGCCATGGTCGTGGTCATGGTCGTCGACATCGTTGTCGTGGTCGTCGACACCACCGACGCCGTTGTCGTCGTCGTCGTCGTCGTCGTCGTCACCGTGGTCGTGGTCGTCGTGATTGTGGTGCCGGTTGCGGTTGTGGTTGTCGCCGTGGTTGTGGTCATCGTTGTGGTCATTGTCTTCCATTGCCCCCAGGCTTTTCTTACAGCCTGAGTTGGCGCCCATTTTCCGCGTTTGCTTGCCGTTGCCCTAGCTGGTCTTTCGGCTAAGCAATTCATGGCCACCCCTGGTGCAGCGAGCGACTGACAATCGTCCTGTGCCTCTGCCTCATCCTGGTCATAGTTTTGCTCCTGCTCCCGCATGCTCCTTCTTCTCGTGCGCATGCTCCTCATCCTCCCCCTTGTCCTTCTCATCCTCCTCCTTCTCCTCCTCCCCCTCACCTCCTCCTCCTCTTCTCCTCGCCTTGGCCTATTCCCTAGCCCATCGTGCCCCGTCCCTCCTCCCTCCTCTTGGCTTTGATGGTAGGCTGGTACTTGCTGTCTTGATGGCCATTGCTGTGTCCGCGAGTTGGCGTCAGCTCTCTCGCCGAGGTGGCACGGGTTACCCTCGCTCCCAGCGTGAGTTGTATTCCAGATTTGTTTCTCCTTCCTCGTCCAGCAAGGCGCTGAGGTTCTAACTCTGTCTGCCAGCACAGCCGTTCCGATCCTCTTACTCTCACTCCTCGTCGTCGCGCGCCTCCGAGGCCGAGAGTGTGCCGTCCGCTGCTGGCGAGGGTTACGTAATTACAGTCAAGACGCTGAAATCAGAGCCGCTTCGGTCTCAGGAGGGACTCGGGTGGAGGGACCCGGGTGTTCGGGCCGATCCTGAGATTTACGTCGCAGAAAATGTTTGTGGCCCAGGCCCGCCGTGTCCAGAAGAGCCCTTGTCGTTCCTTACGCCTTGTTCCTTACAGCAGCACGACGACTGTAAGTCGAAGCTCCCTGAGGTCAGAGCTCTCCAGGGGCGAGGCCGAGATCCGGGGGTTCAGAATCGGCGGCGAGCCAGCGGGGTTTCTCAGAAGCTCTCGCGCCTTCCTTGGTATCGCTCGGACGTGTGCACTTTTTCTCGGCGGGGATTATTAAGGAGCATCCTGGATCATCCTGCGAAAAAAAAGCAGAGGGACAGTGACTGGGCGTCCGAGCGATGGCCAGCTTCTGAGAAGTTTTCTGCGTCTTCGGGGAGACTTGGAAAGCTTCTCAGACGGTGGGGGGACCTCCGAGCCCTCCTGAGAAGGCCAGCCCCTGCTCACTTCCCCCCCTGGGCTCGCCGCCGATGGGAAGGGTGGCCCAGGCTCCTCGCGCCGTGGAACAGGCGTGACTGCGGCGGACGGCTGCGGCAACGTCCGGCCCCTGGGGGTTCTCACGGGGCCCCGGGAGCGCCGAGCACCCCTCGGGAGGGCTGCCCGGCCCTGGGGCAGGGGTCGAGGCTTGGCATCGCTCGGACGTGTGCACTCTTCCTTCGGCGAGCACCATCGAGGAGCATCCCTGATGGTCCTCGGTGGTGGGGACCATCGAGGAGCATCCTCGCTGGCCCTCGAGGACCACCGAGGAGCATTCTTCCTTCGGCGAGGAGCATCCCTGCTCACGCGGCGAGAAGGCCACGCACGAAGCCGAACGCAGCACAGGGAGTGGCCGTCATAGAGAGACGCCCGGGAGGTGCTTCGGGGGCCCGCGCCCCGAGAAGCGCACGGCGTCGGGGGGGGGGGGAGGGGAGGCATCAGGAGGGGAAAACACACACACAATGAATCGTCCACTCCCAGGAGAATGTGGGAAAATATGGGGATTGGGGGAAGCAAGAGCCCAGAAGATATATATATTATATATAATATATATATATATATATATGAAAGTATGGGGAATCCTTTTATTTGTGTGTATTTGTTTGTGTGTGTCCTGGGGCCCCTTCAAGGCAGGAGGGCCCGGGGGGTCGGGCGCGGGCCCGCCCGGGGGTCCCAGTTTCAGAGCCCTGCGCCTCGGGACCTGCGAGAGAAGGGGCGAGGCCCTCGTGGCGGCGTGAAGTCGGGCCCGTCCCTCTGCGGGAGGGGTCTTCAAGAATGGTGGAAACATAGTTTGGGGACTACTTCTTGAGTGTTTCTGTTTATCCTTTTGGGATATTTCTGGAGCATTTTTCATTTTTCGCCGAAATCCCTCCGTTGGGGGACAGGCCCGACCTAATGCTAGCGTCGCGCCAGAGGGGCTGGCGCGCGAGGGGGGGGGCGGCCTTCGAGGGAGGAGGAGGCGGGTGGGGGGGGCTTAGAGGGCAGGGGGCGTCTTGGCAGCCCTCCCGGCCTCCGAGGAGCCTCCTCAGAAGCCGCCGGGCCCCTTACAAGAAGGCCCAGGCCTTCCAGAAGACTGGCCTCTTGGAGGGCTGGCCCCCCTCGCGTTCCCCCCCCCCCGTGTGTGCGCGCGCGCCGCCTCTCGAGTGGGGGATCTTGCGAATCCAGGGAGGAGGAATGCAGACGAACATCTGATCAGAAGGTCGGCCCTGCTACATCAAGGGCACCTCTGTGTCCCGCGTTTCGCGCCCCAGGTCCTCATTCCTGGGGCGATGTGGCCCTCCGAGGGGTCTTGTGTCCTCGCGCGTGTCCCCGTATTGTTGAACTCGATTGCAGAAAGGGGAGAGGAGGAGGAGGAGGAGGAAGAGGAGGAGGAGGTGGAGAAGGAGGAAGAGGCTAAGCTAAGCAATGGCCTGAAGGCTCAGCTCCCCGCTGCATCAGCCCCTAGCGGGGCCCCAAGCACACTGGCCAGGCAGTGAAGCCCCCCACCAGAGAGAGCTGAGAAGGAGAGAGGCAAACAGGTCAAGACAGGAGGAGGAGGAGGAGAAGGAGGAGGAGGAGGAGGACCAGTGTAAACCCAAGAGTCATCAACGATGTTGAAATGAACCCTCCCTCCAAGCTCCCTCTTCATTGGCCCCTATAAAGGTTCATTTCCACTGAGGGAGCTGCCTCGTTGGAAGACAACCGTTTGAAGACCCTGACGCATGCCAAAACATCGTTCTCGGGGTTCCAACGCCACGGATCAACCTGAATGTTCCGGCTTGACGATCCAGAACCGTGTCAGAACGCCGTTCTCGGGATTTCAACATCGCGAATCAACGTAACAGTTGCGCCCTCATAATCCTGAATTCTTCCAACACGCCATTCCTGGTACGCTGGCCATGGGAATCCGTGAAGCTCTCGCAAATGTTAAAACGAATGTGCGCGTCGCTAAGGCGAGAGCCACATTTTGACAAGGAACCGCCCTCAATCAGTGAAACTCTTGCCAGTGTTTACAGCGAATGGGCGCGGCGCTAAGTCGAGAGCCACGTTTTGGAGAGGAACCGCCCTCAATCCGCGAAAATCTTACACATGTTTAAAACGAATGTGCGCGGCGCTGAGGCGAGAGCCCCGTCTCCTCCTCCTCCTCCTCCTCCTCCTGCTCCTCCTCCTGCTTCTCCTCCTCCTCCTCCTCCTCTTCCTCCTCCTCCTCCTCCTCCTCCCACAGGAGGAGAGCATGTTTTCCATCTGTGACAATGTTGTCAACGTCTGAGCTTCGGGGTCATAAAAGGGTGAGGAAGTCTCGGGCGAGACGCCCGGACTGCCCCTAACATTGGCCTCGGGTTGCGACAGGAAGGCACTATGATTTATAAGGAAGGGAAAGGAGGAGGAGGAGAAGGAGGAGGAGGAGGAGGGGGAGGAGGAGGAGGAGGAGGAGGAGGAGGATAAGGAGAAGGAGAAGGAGGAGGAGGAGGAGGAGAGGAGCAGCAGCAGCAGCAGCAGCAGGAGGAGGAGGAGGAGGCGCAGGAGGAGGAGGGAGGCGAGAGGCAGGAGGGAAGGCCCCTCGTGCTCGGGGGTGCGGGGGGGGGGGGGGGGGGAAGAGGGCGGGGCCCACAGCATCCCCAGGCCGTCCTTCTCTTCAGGCACGGGCCCGGGCCGCCGCCACGGGCGGAGGGGGGGGGGGGGGAGCGCGCGCGAGGGAACGCCCAGTGCTGGGAGGCACTGCAGAGGTCCCCCGGGCGGCCTCCGGAGGCCCCCGGCGGACTTGCACAGGGCCAAGGTCGCCCCACAATATCTCGACCCTCGCTTACCCAGACATCCTACCACTTGTCGTTGGTCCTCCACGCGAGGGCCACCGCGCTCGACCCTCTCCTGCAGGCCAGGGTGGCACTCTGAGCCGCTCTGGAACGGCCCCGATGATGCTGAGGATGGCGACAGGCCGCTGCTGCTGTTACCGTCGGAGGTATGGGCCGCGGGTCGGGCTCACTTCGCCATCACATGCCACCCCTCGCTTGGAGGATCAGATGATCCTTGCCCAGTCAGCGGCTGTTTCGAGGGGCCCCTGGCGGCCTCGGAGGCCCTTGGAGGCCCCGAAAGCACTAGACACGCCCGACAGTTGTGATTCTCGAACCTCGAGGATTGAGGATCTGCGGTTGCCGCCGCCCTTTCATGCGGGATCTGCCCCTTTCATGCGGGACGCCGCCGCCGCCGCCGCCGAGGATTGAGGATCTGCGGGTGCTGCCCCCCAGGAGCCCCCCCCCCCAGCGAAACGATATCCCCCCGCACCTGGAAGCGTTATTCCGGCACCTGCGGCTAGGAGGAGGAGGAGGAAGCACATCGCCTGAGACATCCTCGCATTTCTTAATAGAATTGGCAAAATCGCCTGAGACATCCTCACGTTTCTTAATAGACTTGGCCAAATCGCCTAACACATCCTCATATTTCTTAGCAGAATTGGCCAAATCGCTTGAGTCATCCTCACATTTCGTACGAGAATTGGCCAAGTAGCTTGAGACATCCTCACATTTCTTACGAAAATTTGCCAAATCGCTTGAGAAATCTTCACATATCTTAATACAATTGCCCAGTTCGCGTGAGACATCAATGCATTTCTTAATAGGATTGGCCAAATCACTTGAGACGTCGTCGCATTTCCAAATTGAACTTGCCAAATTGCTTGAGACACCTTCACATTTCTTAATAAAATTTGCCAAATCGCCTGAGACGTCCTCACATGTCTGAATAGAATTGGCTAAATCGCTTCAGACATCCTCACATTTCTTAATAGAATTGGCCAAATTACCTGAGACATCCTCATATTTCTAAATAGAATTGGCCAAATCGCTTGAGGCATCCTCACAGTTCTTATTAAAATTGGCCAAATCGCTTGAGACATCCTTGCATTTCTTAGCAGAATATATAAAATCGCTTGAGACATCTTCACATTTCTTAGCAGAATTTGCCACATCTCTTGAGACATCCTCACATTGCTTAATCCTTCTCCTCCTCTTTCCCCCTCTCCCTCCTTCCCCCCCAGCTCGCCTTTTCACAGTCCTGGCAATACTAGGGCAACCTTTCAGTGCTCAGGAGAGTTCCTGCCTGTGCCTGCCGCCCTTTCAGAGCTCAAGCGTTCAGTTGTCAGATAGGATTGGCCAAATCGCTGGAGACGTCCTCACATTTCCAAATAGAACTTGCCAAATTGCCTGAGACATCCTCGCAATTCTTATCAGCATTTGCCAAATCGCTTGAGACATCCTTACATGTCTTAACAGACTTGGCCAAATCGCTTGAGACATCCTTACACTTCTTATTAGAATTGGCCACACCGCCTGAGACATCCTCGCAATTCTTATCAGCATTTGCCCAATCGCTTCAGACATTATCATTTCTTAACAGATTTGGCCAAATCGCTTGAGATATCCTTACACTTCCTAATAGAATTGGCAAGCTTACATCCGACATTCTCTTATTTCTGAATAGAATTTGCCAAATCGCTTGAGACATCCTCACATATCTTCATAGACTTCTTTACGCTTCGCGTATCCCCACCAGCCCATCTCACAGCGGCAACTCTTGCGAAGCATGCCGACAGTCGTGTTTTTCAGGCGTGTGTCCGCTTGGCCCCGCATATCTCCCCTGTTCCTTGTTCCTCCCGCCTCCTTGTACATCCTCCTTGTGGGGGGAGCGGGAGAAGGACGAGGCGGAGGAGGAGGGAGAGAGAGCGTTCCTCGTGATTTGAGTCGTTTGGGGTTTCTCGTCCTGGTGTGAGTCGTTCGGGCCCTTCTTCCTGGTGTGAGTCGTTCGGGCTCTTCGTGGTGTGAGTCGTTCGGGCTCTTCGTCCTGGTGTGAGTCGTTCGGGCTTCTCGTGGTGTGAGTTGTTCGGGCCCCTCATCCTGGTGTGAGTCGTTCGGGCCCCTCCTCCTGGTGTGACTCGTTCGGGCTCCTCGTGGTGTGAGTCGTTCGGGGCCCGCGTCGTGGTGTGAGTCGTTCGGGCTCCTCGTGGTGTGAGTCGTTCGGGCGCCTCGTCCTGGTGTGAGTCGTTCGGGCCCTTCCTTGTGGTGTGAGTCGTTCGGGCTCCTCGTGGTGTGAGTCGTTGGGGTCTCTCGTCCTGGTGTGAGTCGTTCGGGCTCCTCGTGGGGCCTCTTGGAGCATCTTGGGGCCTCTTGGGGGCCTCTTGGGGGCCTCTTGGGGGCCTCTTGGAGCCTCTTGGGGCCTCTTGGGGGCCTCTTGGAGGCCTCTTGGGGGCCTCTTGGGGCCTCTTGGGGGCCTCTTGGGGGCCTATTGGAGGCCTCTTGGGGGCCTCCTGGGGGCCTCTTGGGGCCATATTGGGGCCTCTTGCGACCTCCTCAGAAGCGCAGATGAGCGCTGTCCCCTGAGAAGGACAACATGAGCCCACAACCTTCGTACAATCAATGATTTTGCTATGAGGGAAGATGAGCGCGGCCCCCTCAGAAGGCCAAAATGGGGCCAACACCCTAGTAAAATCAATGTTTTTGGCTTCGGAGACGAGCTGAGGCGCCAAACTCCCTCCCCCCCCCCGGGCCAGAATCCTCGTGAGGGTCGTCGTTTTTTTGGCACTCCCAGGAGTCGAAAAAAAAACCCTGACGACGCTCGGGACTCCCTCTCCAGGTCCAGGGGGAGGGGGTAGGGGGAGGGGTAAACCCCTCCCCGAAGGGCAAGAAGGGGGGTTGAGGACAGAGAGAGCTCGCTAAACCACTCACGCCCAAAGGGCTGGTGGGATTAGCCACATGGCATGAGACATCCTCACATTTCTTTGTGGAATTGGCCAAATCGCTTGGGATACCCTTACATTGCTTGATAACATTAACCAGCCAAATCGCCTGAGACATCCCCACATGTCTTAATATAATTAGCCAAATCGCTTCAGACATCCTCACATTTCTTAATCGAATTGGCCACATCGCCTGAGACAGCCTCGCAGCTTTATAAGCATTTGCCAAATCGCCTGAGACATCATCGCAATTCTTAAGACAATTGGCCTACTCGTCTACTCGTACTCGTACTCCTATTCGTATTCCTACTCGTACTCCTACTCCTACTCCTATACTCCTACTCCTAGTCCTACTCAAACTCCCCCTCCCTCTCCTCCTACTCCTACTCCAACTCTTACTTCTACTAAGGGAGCCTCACGACTCCTCCGCGGCCCAGGGAGCCTCATCATAATCCAAGATGGCCGAGAGGTTCCAGAAGAATCCAAGACGGTCCAAGACGTATCGCAAGGGGTTCTCATAGCAGGGCCCTGGAGATGCCTTCAGCCAATGGCCCTACGCCTTCCCTCAGTGGCCAGGGCCTCTCAGGGCCCAGGGAGCTCTTATTCTCAGAGGCCTTCGGCCGATCCGCCTGACCTCCTCCCCCATCGGGGTCCAGGGCCTCTCAGGGCTCAGGGAGCTCTTATTCTCAGAGGCCTTCGGAGGCAGTAGTCCAGGTACTGGCAGGAGTCCAGGTACTCAGAAAGAAGCAGTGGCGCTTCAATTTTTTTGTAGAATTGGCCACGTCGCCTAAGACATCCTCGCATTTCTTAGTAGAGCTGGCAAACTCGCCTGAGACATCCTCGCATTTCTTATTAAACTTTGCCAAATCGCTTGAAACATCAGTTGTTCCTTGGGCCTCTCAGCCATGTCATGGTTGTCAGGAGTAACTATCTACCATTGGTGTCTTCCGACGATTACGGCGACGACGAGCGCGACCTGGCTGTCGCACGGATATTTGTTTGGGGCCGGGTGCTAAGATAACGCCACGGTGCGGGGTGGGGGCGGTACCTTCGGGTGGACCACCCCCTACGACGGCCGAAAAAAACGCATTTCTCGAAAGGATTTTCAATAGAAACTTCATCGGACAAAAAACAAGCGGATCATAACAAAGAGTAGAGAAGGAAGAGAAGGACATCGCCTGAAACATCCTCACACAAATCGCCTGCGACATCCTCGCATTTCTTCTTAGAATTCGCCAAATCGCTTGAGACATCCTCACACTGCTCAACAGAATGTTCCAACTCGCCTGAGCACCCTCACATTTCTGGTAAGAATTGGCCAAATCGCTGGAGACATCCTCGCATGTCTTAATAGAATTGGCCAAATCCCTTGAGACATCCTCACATTTCTTATTAGTCTTGGTTCGTATCGTTGTTCGTTGTAGTCGTATCCTCATTCGTAGTCGGCGAGGGTCGCTGCTTTGTTCGGAGTACTTCGATTCCATGAGGATCATGAGGAAAACGATGTTTATTTTCAGTATTCTTACAAACAGTCGTATTCTGCTTCTCATTAGTCGTATTATTCGTTTTTTTTCTGCTTCTGATTCTTCTTATCTTCGTTCGTATCTTCGTATTTTCGGCGACGACGAGCACGATCTGGCTGTCACACGGATATATTTTTTTGGCCGGGTGCTAAGATACCGCCACGGTGCGGGGTGGGGGCGATACGCTCGGGTGGACCACCCCCTACGACGGCCGAAACAACGCATTTTTCCAAAGGATTTTCAACAGAAGCCTCATCGGAAAAACAGGCGGATCAGAACAAAGAGTAGAGACGGAAGAAGAAGAAATCGCTTGTAACATCCTCACACATCTTAGTAAAATGACAAATCGCCTGATACATCCTCACAGTTCTTTTTAGAATTCGCCAAATCGTTTGAAACATCCTCACATTGCTTAACAGAATTATCCAAATCGCCTGAGCACCGTCACAAATCGCCTAGCATCACGGTAACAGTAGCATCGCGGTAGCAGTAACAGTAGCATCACGCCATCAGGTTTCATCGTCATCACGGCAGCAGTAACAGTTACGGTGTCAGCAGTACCTGTGACACTCGCCTTATTCTTATTATTGTTCTTATTCGCACTTTCATTCGTATTCTTACTATGATTACAATTCCAATTGGGATGCCATCCGAGGCGGGACGCAGGAATTATTTACTTTCCTTTCAAGTGCGCGGTGCTAATTATATCGTTTGGCGAAAACCCCCAGAATAATTATTAAATTACGGGGCGGTGCTAATGATAACCCCACGGGGATCCTTAATCGCTTCATGAGGTTACCACTACGTACAGACGATGAGGGCGCGACGAGTTCGACGGCGACGACGACGACAGCGACGACGACAGCGACTACGACGACGGCGACGACGACGGCCACGACGACGACTTCGGCGACGACGAAACGACGACGACGGCGATGACAGCGACGACGATGATGACGACGAAGGGCGAAGGCGACGACGAAGAGCCGCTGGTCTCGTGGCGGCCGCCCCGCAAGAGAGAGAGGTCGTTGCCTCCGGGCGGGAGCTCGAGCTGTTCCTGGGCCAGGCGGCCACCTACATGGACGACGTCAAGGCCCCCGGGGCGAGCATACCTCTGGCCAGCGCGCACACTTGTTCTTATACTCTCGCCCTCCCGATGCTTTCAGTCCTGATGGGTCAAGGGGCTCTAATATTCTCACCGAGGTTCCGATTGATTTCGCAGCGGTTCCATTGGAGTCGATCGTAGACCGATTCTATTGGACAGTCCTCAAGCTCTGAGGATCCCATGCAGGCTGTCGCAGTGAATTGACAAACGTTGTCGATGTGAGTCCGCATTGCCCACAAACCTATTGTTTGTTGTGTGTTTTTATTCCGAAACGTGCCGCTCGTTATTCGACGTGTTCGCGAAACCTACTGATTCGCATTTTTGCGATGGGTCCCTGTTTTCGTGATATAGATTTAGCTGTTTCATCTTTCTCTATGAGTGTGTGTGTGTCTCTGTGGCGATCGGGGCTCGCATTGTTTAGACAGAGTTTCACTCAGAACAGAAGGTGGGGCTGTTGTTCGCCGGTTTGGCTCAAGACAAAAAGCATCCGCTCATCTCGCTGTTGCCACAGTTGGTAGCGGAGCGGTGGTCCGCCATGGCCAGCAAGGGTGGCACCAGGCGGCGCTAGGGCGGTGGAGCCGGAGTTGCTCGGACGGTCAGGCGACTGCCGCCCCATCGAGGACGTGCAGTGCGTGGATCCACGGGAGGGTGCGAACATGTCTGCAGAGGAGAGTACGCAGACGTACGCGACAGTGGACGTGGCGAATGGCCAGCTTCAGCTGGTGCTTCCGCCTGCTTCAGCTGGCGGAGCCGCCGCGGGTCGATCAGGTCGGAAGCAGCACCGGGAGATCGCCTTCGTGATCAGATCCGCGAGGTGGTCCAGGAGATAGTGAGGGACAGTACCGGTGCAGCGGGTGACTCGGCTGGGTCGAGGTCGCAAGACAGTAGGGCCCAGGGCAATGCCCGGGACAAGGACCAGGACTGGCGCGACATGTCCTGGAAGGACGTCAAGGAACAGTCTGACCCGTGGGACGAGACGGGGGACGACCCTTGGAAGAGAGGCTGCGATCATGACGGTGACCAGAAGGATCTCTGAAAGACGAGAGCCTGGCAGCAGCGAGACGACGACTGGTCGAGCACCGATCGCGGCTGGCAGCGAGGAGATTGGTAACATAACCAGTGGGGCAAGGGCGACTTCTCCGACCCACCTACGTGGCCAGGTTGGGGACATTACCGCCTGTGGAAGACGACCCTCCAGAGGTGGAACCTGGGGACTCACGTCCAGGTCTGGAGGCGATTCGAGAACTTGATGAAGGGGTTCGATTGGGCCATGCAGGCCAAGTTCGAGGACCTTAGCGACGACGTGGTCGCTGGCCCGCAGCGGTCGGACGCAGTACTCCGACGGATGGACGTCATGGCAGGAGAGCGCGAGGGCAACGACCTGAGGCGCGCAGGTAGGCGGGCACTCTTCGATTGCACGCGTGAAGCGAAAAAGACGCTGACCCAGTGCGTCACGCGTCGCGATCAGCAAGTGATCGAGGCGGAGACGTACGATACATGGACGTCGGAGAAGATGGAAGGCTTCCTGCTCGAGGAGGGAGCCGGGCTATCCGCCCAGGGCCAACAGAACCTCCAGACACTTACCAGAGGCAGTCTAGAGTACAACCAGCTGAGCCCTGAGGCAGCTTGACCATAGCAGTGGTGAGAAGCCGACCCCCGGGCGCGCCATCAGCACAGGTTCCCACCCAGTCCTAGCCGCAGAAGCCGGCCGGGACGGCGCAGCCGATTCCAGCTATCCTCCTCCTCCTCTTCCTCCTCCTCCTTTTCCTCCTCCTCTTCCTCCTCTTCCGACCTCGCAGTCCTGTCCTGCCGCTGGCCCCGGGGCCGGCGACCCCGGCGAGGACTCGTTCTACGACCAGAACGGCGATGGCGAGGAGGACGATGAAGACCTGGGATGAGCTGGCGGAGGCTGACGCGCAGGCGATCTTCGCCGAGATCGAGGAGATGAACATCTCCGAGGGCGAGGCCGAGGAGGTCCACTTGCAGATGGAACGGCAGGCCATGCGGACGTGGAATCAGAACGCGGACCTCAAGCGGGCCGCACGTCGACCAGGACCGCAAGTTCTACGGCGCCCGGGCCAAGAGCAACGGCGACGCTCGAGGACGAGGACACGGCCGACGAGGAGAAGGACGTGGAGCCAGGCATGGACGCGGAGACGGTCGGCGTGATCGAGGACATCGGAACGGCGAGGCGCACCGTCGCATGCTCATTCAGGTCACCAAGTGCCACAACTGCCAGCAGAAGGGACACTGGCATCGCGAGTGCCCGCGCCCGCCGAAGGACAAGAAGGACTCGCCGTTTGGCCGAGGGCTCGCAGGATACGCGTTCACGGGGGTAGAGAACCTCCTACCGATCTCTGGCGATGAGCTCCGGGCGCTGCATCAGGCGCAGGGCGAGATCCGTTCCAGCGAGGTCCACCTCAACGCCGCCGTGGCGCAGGGCTTGGCGGGCCCAGGCGCCTGCAGCGACATTGCGGGGCTCCCGTCCCTCAACCGAGAGTCGGAGGCCCTCGCCAGGCATGGCCTTCGCTGCGTTCTTGTGCCGAGGGGCTTCAAGGCGCCCAAGAAAACCCACGGCGTCGGCGGCGAGGCCAGGGTGATTGGCACCGCGCCGTTCCCGTTATGCTTAGGCCCAGGTGGCGTACTCGGGATCGCGGAAACCGCAGTTTTGGCCGGGGATGCACCTTGCATTCTGAGCGTGAACTTGTTTGATTTTCTAGGCTGTGTCTTGGACCTCCCTCGGTTCATTCTGTCATCGGGCAAGTTGCAGTTAGATATTCCTGTCCAGAAACTCGGGTCGGGCCGCTGGATGGCTGATATTGCGCGCGATGTGTCGGGGGCCCAGTTAGCCCCGGCCAGCGCGCTAGGGAAGTGTCTTTTCCTGGCACCAGGCGAGCAGGTGCCCCTCGTTGGCTCTGGCGGGGGGATCGCCAAGTGCATCATCGCATCAGTCATCGCCTGCGTTCCTGGGCCCGGGCGACCAGAAGACATCGCCCCAGAGCAATCCGGAGCGCGAGACTACGGGGCCCCGTCCCACCTCGCGCCGCGGGCTCAGCGGGCGCGCCTCGAATCCCCAGCGGCCTTAGGATCCCAGGGGAACGCCGAGGCCCAGAATAAGACGCACGAAAAGACCAGCGAGGAGCGCGGGCAGTCGAGGTTGAAGACCTGAGCCCGCGGAGCCCTCGACCCCGTGGGCCGCGCGGGGCAGAGAGGAGCTGGGGCTTTTGTCCGGGTCGTTCTGACCGTCGCCGTAGCCATCGGCTCGAGCTCTAGCTATCAGCAGTGCCCTCCTGCCGCCGCGACGGCGACCGAGGAGTTCCTGGCTCGCCGCGCGGCAGAGTCGGATGCATCATCGGAGTCGTTCGAGCAGCCGCCGGGGGGCGCCGCCGGGCCCGGCGGCAACGTGGGCGCGACATCCGCAGCTTCGGGAGTCGGCTACAGTCAGGCGACCGCAGCCGGGCAAGCAGGACAGCCAGCTCCACCGCGCCCAGTGCAGCAGGGTCCGGCTGGACTCCCCTCAGCAGCAGCAGCGGCAGGGGCGATGGGATCGAGCTCAGGGTCGTCGGGGCCAGAGCTGCGGAACGCGGCCGCTGTCGCGACGGAGCGGCCCCCCGCGCAGCCGTCGATGCCGGCCAGCGCGCCCGCCGGCACAGTCGCAACTGGAGCTGCGATGGCGCGGGCGAGAGCCATTCCTCTGGCGCCCGACGGGGCGCCCCCCGAGCTCGCTGCAGCAGAGGTCCAACCGATTCCGCCGAGGGCGCTGCCGGCGGGAGTGGTGCCGGGAGCCCCGCCAGGGCCGGCGGCGACGAAGCCTCCTCCTGCGCCGCGCGCCCCGCCGGCAGGAGCATCGGGGTCGAAGGGCAGCCAGCCGCCGCCGAAGACACCGCCCATCTGCCCGCGTCCTCCGAGCGCGCTGCGCTAGTGCGGGAATCAGCGCGGCTCTTGATCCCGGCGCGCCCTGTGACAGGAGGGGCTCGCGTGGATCCCGCGTGGGCAGCAGCCAGGACAGGGCGGCGGGCAGCCGCCGATGCCCGCGGCAGCCGACGCGGCACGGCAGGCTGCGATCAACTCCCAGGGAATGCTCGAGCATTTGCAGGAGGATCTGGCGTTCCGCACTGGGGGCGCGGCCCTCGCGACGGTCAACCAGCTGCATGGCCTCCTCCAGGCCCTGCAGTGGCAGCTGAGCACGGTCCCCGAAGGAGTTCGAGCCAGCGGGCAGGTCCAATCCGTCCTCGACCAGATGACAGCGGCGGCCATGCATACGACAGAAGGACCGACCCGAATGCAGGATGGTCCCCAGCAGATCTTCCAAGGCATCCAGCAAATCCGCAACCTCATCGGGTCCTTCGAGAGTTTCGCCGAGAACATCGACGCGCTGCAGGAGGCGATCAACGTCATGTTCCACGCGGTCTCCAACCTCGAGGCCGCGATGGGTCAGCTGGGCTACGTGATTGTCAACATCGGGACAGCGGTGACGTCGATCGCACGCGTGCTCAACGCCGGCCAGCAGAGCGGTCAGAACTGGCAGCACGGCGATCCGTGGTACATTGCGCCAAGAGCGACGGGCAGCGGACGCAGCAGCGGGAGCGGCGGACCGAGCAGCAGGTGCCGAACCAGGAGAGCAGCCCCCGCCGCAGCCGCTTCAGCCCCCGCAGGCGCCCCGGCCATCGAGCGAGCAGAACGGCGACCAGACGGCGCAGACGACGACCGCGATCTCAGCGCTCGCGACGGGGCCCGACCTGGGCACGATTCCCGAGGAGAGCTCGATGGAAGCTCTTGAGCGACTCGGAGCGCGTGGCCTACAGCTCAGTTCATGTTTGACGAGAATGGCGAGGAGGTCGAAGGGCTACTCGCCGGGGCTGGCCGCAGCCTTCTCTGGCGGCGGGCGCCAGGCTTCTGACGCACACTGCGCGGCAAATCCTTCACCTCCCAGTATCCCCTGTATCTCTTCCGTCTCCTTTCCCGTCTTCACTTCTGGACCAGCGCGAGCAGTCGGAGGTCAGGGGCGGAGCCTTCGCGCCAAGGCGCGCGTCGAAGGTTTCTTGGACCGACGCGGAGCTGCGGGCCAGGCCCTGTCCGAGTTTGAAGGGGCCGAATGGTTGCTGGAGGGCCGTGCGAATGGCGATGAAGAGACGGCGCGTCCGTCGCGAGTCCGAGAGCACCTCGAGGCCATGGCTCGCTCTGTCGTTGAGCCACTCGGAGGTCTAGAGAGCCCCGCTCCAACGACTCCTTCCGGGAAGGGCGCTGCTTTGATGGAGGTCTTCTCTCCACCCCGGGTGGCCCTATCGGGCCCAGCGTCGCGGGGGCCTTCTAGGCAAACAGGCCGATTTGGATGTCCAACAAGGTTGGGGCTCCAGAGGGCCCGGGGCCGAAGGCGGGCGTGGAAAACCACTGCAGAAGAGGATCCGTAGTTGATTTGGCTCTGTCCGCCATGCAAGGTGTTTTCGCTCATCAGCAGCATCAGCAAGGCTGTCCGGGACCCGGTCAAGCGGGGGCAGGCGGTCGCAGGCGGGACCGACGATCTAATTCTCAGCGTGCGTATAGCGGCTCATCAAGCCCGCTAGGGTCGGTATTTTGCGTTCGAACACCCCTTGGTCGCGAGCTCCTGGGCAGCTGCGGCGGTCGAGCATGTGGCCCAGAGGCCCGGGGTCCAGCGGATCAGAATAGACGCGCGCACTTTCGGTCTGAGTGTCGCGAAGCCAACCGGGACCCTGGCGAGACATCCCAGGCCCCAGGAGATTCTCCACGGGTATCTCTGTCCAGGGGATCACCGTCATGTGATTCTGGAAGGAAAGAGTGACCGCCTGGTCCCAGGTGCACCCGCCAGCCTTCGCTGGGGCCGCGGCTCGCGCGGTGACAGAAGAGTGGAGTCAGCCCCACTGGCGCCGCCCCGTCACCTGGGCCCAGTTCGAGGAAAGTGGTTTCCCGAGGACGGAGAGCCCGTCTCCCCCGAGGCCGAGGACCAGGCACCCCTGGCGGGCAGCGGCGACGACGAAGACGCGCCAGAGACCCGCCCTCTCGGCGGTGCCCAGACCATCGGGCCAAGCCCGGGACCTACGGAGGAGGAGAAGCGCTTGGTCATCCGTCTCCATGAAAACATGGGGCACCCGTGCAATCGAACACTCCTCAGAGTGATCCGTGCTGGCGGCGTGAAGAGCCACGTCTTGAGATGGATCAGGAACTCGTTTAAGTGTTCCGGGTGTGCGGAGCGAGCCCGCCCGAGTCATCGCCGCCGGGTGTCCCTCCCCGGTGCCTTTCGCTTTAACCACGTAGTGTGGGTGGACCTGCTTGACCTTCCGCTGCAGGACCAAACGGTGTCCTATCTCAACATCGTGGATCACGTATCCAACCTCCATTTTTGCGTCCGAGTCGAGGAACCCAGGGTTGTCTTACGAATGGCGCGCTTTTGTTTCGGCCTGGATCAGGCCATTCAGAGCCTCCGGCGGGGCCCAGGACAGATTTGCTCGCGGTCTCGAACAGCGGGGGATGCTGCATCACGCGCGCGACGCCAAACCCCCCGGCAGAATGGGCGAGTAGAACGCCATCGGGGTTGGACCAAAGAGCGAGCCAAGGGATATATGGAGGCAGGTGCCACTCTTCCAGGTGACATTCAGTAGCTGGACGATCTCCTTCATGAGCTGTGCCCACATAACCAGATTCTGGCATAGAAGGGGGCTTTTCGCCAATGCAGTTCGTTTTCGGTGCAAACCCAAGGCTGCCGCGCGAAATACTGTCAGGCGATCGCATGGGCATTCCTGGGTGGCAGGACTGTCTGCGACCCGCCGCTGAACCAGACTCATCCGGAGCGGAGTTTGCCCGCTCTCAGGTGCCCGAGGTCCGTCGCAGACCGTCTTCAGCCCAGGCCAGTGAGTTTTCGCGTGGCGCAGGATGACCAAGGCTGGGTCGCGGGCGGACTCGCTGGGTCGCAGGCGGGACGCCTGGGCAGGTGGGCGGGTCCGGGGGTCGTGGCGTTCGCCGACAAGGGCACTGCCTGGGTCGCGGTTCGGGCTAGACTGTGGAAGTGCTCCCAGGGGCAGGTGCGCCATGCGAGTCCAGACAAGGAGTTTGGCATCCAGGTGGCGCAGGGCCCACAGTGGTCGGAACTCTTGTCCCAGGCGCAGGCTCGTCGAGCCACCGCTGCGGATGTCCGGCGGGAGGGCCCCCGCCGGATGATGCCGGGGATCAACCCGTGTCGCCGGGCTCGGACCCAGGGCCCCAGGCGCCAGGACCTCTGGGCGAGCCGAGCCGCATGGAGCCGCCGGGGCCAGCAGGGCCCCCGTCAGAAGCGAGGGGCTTCGACCCAATCGGGCCGGCCCCCCCTCGTTCCGCTCGTTCCAGGCTTCCGCCCTCTTTTCGGATGCTGGAGGGGCCAGGGCTAACGAGGGGCTCGAGGACGAGAGCGGTCTCCCGGAGGGCCCTACCCAAGGGGCGTGGATTGTATTTGCTACGGACAGGAGCGCGCTGGATAGCTGCGCCGTCAAGGCCTCGGTCCTGGGGTGGCGGAGCTCGAAGCTTCGCCGCAAGGTGAGCTCCACTCTGGCGGGAGAGACGCAGGCGCTTTCCGCGGCAGTCTCGAAAGTAGGGTTCTTGCAGGTCCTCTTCCGAGACGTGATTTTCCACGATGGCGAGGTGTCCGATATGTCCAGAGGGTCCGGGGCGTTCACGACTGTCCTCGGGAGGAACTGTCGATTGGCTAGTCGGGGGCACCAGGTCCACGTCGTGGATGCGAACAGCATCTACGACACCATGCTCAAGGAGGGAGACGCGAGCGCCCGTGATAGGCGCACGGCGCTGGATTTAGCAAGTGTTTGCGAGGCCCTCGAGGGGGCTTGGGGCCAAGTGCGATGGGTGCCGCGCGGCCGGATGCCGGCGGACGCGCTCACGAAGGATGACGTGAGCAAGAGTAACGCTGCCCTTGCCAGCCTGCTCACCAACGTTAGGCTGGTGCTGATTGACAAGACTGCCGAGATGGCTCGGCGAAAGGAGCATCCTGGTGCCAAGGATCGCTTCCACGCAGCGTCGAGGAGGGCGTTCGACCAAGATTCCCGTTTTGTGTCGTGGACCGAGTTCCAGTCGGTCCACCTGATCCTGGGGACCGGCGGTCAGGGTACCTCCTGCTCCTCCCTCCCACGTTCCAAGCCTTCCTTGTTCTGCCAGGGACACTGTCTTACATTGTACAGATGCTGTTTCCGAACGAAGGAAGCTAAACCTAAGAGAAAGTTTGACCCATGTGATGGGTTCCTTGTTTTCGTGCCGTAGGTTTAGTTGTTCGATCTTTCTCTATGAGTGTGTGTCTCTGTGGCGATCGGGGTTCGCACTGTTTAGACAGAGGTTCACTCAGAACAAAATGTGGGACTGTCGTTCGCCGGTTGGGCTCAAGACAAAACATATCCATTCATCTCGCTGCTGCCACATATTGCGTTGCCAGGAATCTACGATTGATTTTCTAATTGCTCGTCAAGGAACTGATCGATTGCATCCGGGTGCTTTACGAAACCTATCACGTCCGTCACGCCTGAACATATCGATGGTTTTGTGTAGCCGAGTTGCAAAGACGGGTCGGCTTCTTGACAAGTGATTCGGAAAGCAATTAGTGCTCAGGCGGCGCAATGTGCACATCAATGGGCTCGCAAACGCAGTAGATGATCAAACACGGAGCGGCGCGTTGTCGGAACAGGCAGAGCCTGCAATCAGTGTTTCAGAACGAGAGATCGCATTGTCGAGGTCGGCCAACTTGTTGCGGATGCGCGCATGCCCCTTACACCCGCTCTATGATCCGACCCGACGGTCCAATGTAGGTGCGAGTAGCGCAGAGTGTGCTCCTAAGCGCCGCAAAAGTGATTAAGCTCGGCGGGGGGGGCGGATGGCGCGGACGAGATGTTCCAGAGTGGGCGCGCAGACGCGAGTTGAGCTCCCTTGGTTTTCCTGCCCGTGCCCTCCCATCCCCTTACCTCCATTGCTGATGTTCTTCCTTCCTCCCCCTTGTTTTTTTTGTTGATTTGAGTTGTACCTATACGACCACCCTTCGGGTGATAAGGAGGTTGTGGGGGGAGGGGGGGAACCAACATCTGATTCAATCGATCTCATTATCGATCTCACACCACGGGACACCACGGGACATTTGTCGATTTAACGATCGATCTCACTATCGATCTCATTCAACGGGACACCACGGGACACCGCGGGACACCTCTCGATTTCACTACCGGTCTCACTATCGATCTCATTATCGATCTCACTCAAAGGGACACCACGGGACACCTCGGGACACCATATCTATCTCAATATCGATTTCACGATCGATCTCACTAGGATCTCATTCAACGGGACGCCACGGGACATCACGGGACACCTGTCGATCGCACTATCGATCTCATTATCGATCTCACTTTTTGGGACACCACGGGACATTTCGTGGCACCGTATCGATCGCACTCTCGATCTCACTATCGATCTCATTCCACGGGACACGACGGGACACTTGTCGATTTCATCATCGATCTCACTATCGATCTCACTCAACGGGACACCACGGGACACCGCCAGGCACCGCCTGGGCCACTGCCGGACGGAGGAGAATCATTTGTCTTGACTTCGCCCTAGCAACGGCGGACACCACGGGAAACCGCTAAGGCCACCGCCAGAGGGAGGAGAATCATTAGTCTTGACTTCGCCCTCGCAACGGCGGGTGCATTCCTCTCGCGCGCCCACGCAGCTTCGCCTCGCCGGCATGCACGAGGCGAACGAAACGAAACGATTTCCCGGTTGGGGGTCTCCGTTCCATTGCGATCTCACCCCTCAATTTCCGATTTCTCTACTCCCTTTTCCTCTTCCTTTTCGTCGTCGTCGTCTTCCTCCGCCGCCTCTGACTTCCCCTCTTCCTCTTCATACCGGACTGGGCAGAACAAAGTACCGTGGACGCGCTCGCTGGGGCCGTGGGTGGAGTTCCCTGCGGGGCCGCCATCCTTGTGATGGCTATTCCGGCATAGGCGGAGGACCGCACGTGGGCGTGCCCAGCGGGGCGGAGGAGGAGGAGGAGGAGGAGGAGGAGGGGGAGGGGAAGGAGGAGGAGGAGGAGGAGGAGGAGGAGGAGGAGGAGGAGGAGGGGAGGAGGAGGAGGAAGAGGAGGAGATATGTGGAGCTCCTTACGAAGCCACGGTCCTCGTGACAGGTGTGCCGTCGTGGGTGGGGGGACCGCATGTGGACGTTAAACGTTAGTTGGCCCACTCCCTGGGACACCCCCAAACAAGAGGCGATTCCCCACTGGAGCCCCCAGAAAAAAGTTAACGGTTGCCCCCCACCTCGTTGGACCCCCCCCAAGAAGAGTCGATGGGCCCCCCCTCCCCAACCTTACTAAAACCTCAAAAGAAGAATCTAACCTTCCAAACCAACTTGGGCGACCGCGAGGGCATTATTGCGCTGGCTGCCCGCGCACGCGTGAGCGCTCTCCTTTTCCGCGGGGTGCCCCGAAGTTGGCGGCCCGCTTCGGTCATCGCAGAAGGTCGCCGCGTCATCGGGCGTACGATTTTCTTGATTCTTTCGTTACCACCTCCCCGCCGAGGGCCTGTTAGACCCCAACAACGAATGGCTTCACAAGTGCCTCGAGTTCGCCGCCTGGCTCAGCGCGGAGCTCCAGAGCATCACGGCGGCCGTGAAACAGCACGAGAAGACGTTCGTGGTCGTGCAGGGCTGCAAGGCACCAGGGGATCATGACCGGGAGATCCTGGTGGGAAGGGCCAGAAAGGGCACTGGAGGAGGAGGAGGAGGAGGAGGAGGAGGAGGAGGAGGAGGAGGAGGAGGAGGAGGGAGGAGGAGGAGGAGCAGCAGCAGGAGCAGCAGGAGCAGCAGGAGCAGGAGCAGGAGAAGGAGCAGGAGCGGGAGGGGGAAGGGAAGGAGGAGGGGAAGGATGGGGGAACGAGGAGGGGAGACTAAAAGGAGAACGGGGAGTAGGAGGGGAGAAAGGGAGGAGGCGGGGGAGGAGGAGCAGGATGCTCATGATGGTGATGATGGTGATGATGGTGATGATGATGATGATGATGATGATGATGATGACGATGATGATGATGATGATGATGATGATGATGATGATGATGATGATACTGCTGCTGCTGGTCATGATCATGATGATGTTGGTGGTGGTGGTGATGATGGTGGTGATGATGATGGTTGTGATGGCGATAGTGATGGGGACGGGGATTGTGACGGTGATGGTGGTGATGATGATGATGCTGATGTTGATGATGATGATGATGATGATGTTGATGATGATGATGATGATGATGATGATGATGGAGATGGTGATGATGATGATGATGATGATGATGATGATGATGGTGGTGGTGGTGGTGACGGTGATGATGGTGACGATGGTGATGATGGTGACGATGGTGATGGTGATGGTGATGGTGATGGTAGTGGTGGGGATGGTGGTGGCGGCGGTGATGATGATGGTGATGGTGATGGTGGTGATGGTGGTGGTGGTGATGGTGGAGATGATGACGGCGATGAGGATGGTGATGATGATGATGATGATGATGATGATGATGATGATGATGATGATGATGATGATGATGATGATGATGATGATGATGATGATGATGATGATGATGATGATGATGATGATGATGATGATGATGATGATGATGATGATGACGATGATGATGATGATGATGATGTTGATACTGATGACGAGCACGAAGGGACCGCGCCGTGGGAGCAGCCCTGCCTCGGGACTCGCCCTCTTTGGGAGGGCACCACGCACCTGCCAGGAGAGCTCGCCCCGCACCGCCGCAGAGGGAGGCGGGCCGCCACGGCCTCGGACCGGCCGCGGGCGGGCGCACCGCAGCACAGCCAGCTCGCATCGTGTCGACGACGCCCGCGACGACGACGACGACCACGACGACGACGACCACGACGACGACGACGACGACGACGACGACCACGACGACGAGCGACCAAGATAACGATGACGACGACGACGACGACGACGACGACGACGACGACGACGACGACGACGACGACGACGACGACGACGACGACGACGAGCGACGAGCGACGAGCGACGACGACGACGACGAGACGACGAGACGACGACGACCACGACGACGACGACGACGAGGACGACGACGAAGACGACCACGACGGGGGGCGAGGCAGACCTGCCGGCTGGGTGCCGCGACGAGGGTGGGCTCTGGGGGACGGCCAGCGCTCGAGCGCCAGCCTCGGAGGCCGCCGCAGCTTCACGCCCCTCCCCAGGCCTTCCTCCTCCTCCTCCTCCTCCTCCTCCTCCTCCTCCTCCTCCTCGTCCTCCTCCTCCTCCTCCTCCATCCCCAGGCCCCGCAACCCGCCTGCCAGGGGTGCGCGCGGGTGACGCCGCCGGGGGCGGAGGGGGTTCATTCCAAGGGCGCCCTCGAGGGCGCGAAGTTATTCGCGGTTCGCGCTGCGCGGTTCGGCTCCGCTTCCTCCTCATCCTCCTCTTCTCCCTTGGGAGGCGCCGCGAGAGCGCGAAGTCATTCGCACTTCGCGCTTCGCGCAGCGCGAAGCGCGACGTTGGGAGCCCTTGCATTCTGGATCCGCAGACGCGGCGGCGGTCCCAGCGCATGCGTTCCAGGTTGAGTGCCGCCAGCGGACCGGAGGCGGCCGGCATCGAGTGGTTGCGCTATTGGAGGCCCGCTATCGTTCAAGGTTGAACGATCCACGTGGTGTCAGGTGATCGTTTTCTTGTTCCTTGTTTTGCCGATCGGCGCGGGCCCTCGCCCCCCCCCCCCCCCCTCCCCTTCCCCCCGATGGAGTAGATCTTGGCTGTTTTGGGTGCCTGTTTCGAGCAGGTGGAGTCTCCCCCATAGGACGCGCTGCTGCAAATAGTCGCACTACGCAGAGGTTCGGAGCAGGACCCCCCCCCTCCCCTCCTTCCGCCCAATGTCGAAACGCCGAATAAGAAAACGATCACCAGAAACCAACGCCGACGTAGGCATGGCAAGAACCTGCCGTACCACACCTGACCCCCTCAGTCTTACCGCACGCTGCCTGCCAGCATCTCATAGCACGCCCAGCGAGCATCTCGAAACAGTCCATGCTGCCCGAAGGGCGGCGGAGGCAACTTTCCGCGACGGATCGGCGGCTCTGCGAGCAGTGTGGTCACAGTGGGCACTGCTCAGGCCTCCTCCTTCGCGATCTTGTCACAGCGCGGACCTCTGGAGGTTGGGAACGCCTCCCGTGGACCAGTGTTTCATCGCGAGACGTCTTTGTGAACTGCCCAGAGGCCCAGTAAGGGCCCCCAGAGCACGAACGTTGCATACAAAAAGCTTCCATTTCAGCCACGCGCAGAGGGGGTCAGGGGGAGGGGGGGATGCTTATCAGAAGCACCCTGCTTCTTAGAAGGCGCGGGCCTTATCTACAGATGTGAGGCCAGCGCCTTTCAAGAACCAGCCTCCTAAGGGGTCTTCCCCTCTCCCCCTACGGTAGGTTCGCGTCGTGTCGACCAGCGGCGACCCCGCCGCCGGCGTTCAATGTGGAACGCCGCCGCCGACCCAGAATCGGTCGATGTTGATTGATCTGACGTTTCTGAAACGGCCGATCGTTCAAGGTTGAACGTTCCCCGCGCTGTCAGAAACCAACGCTGGGGTCGTCACGACACGAACCTGCCGCGCCCCCTTGTGCGCTCCACCAGCCAGTTGTCAGTCGAGAGGCCTGCGCCATCGCACCGACCCCAGGAAGTGGAGATGTGCGGCTTCCAATGTTGGTCGCGGCATCCCGTCGTGCTGCCTGCGTGGAGATGTTCCTGGCTTCGACTGCGCGTAAGAGTTCGGAGGAGGAAAAGGTACCCTTCGTCCGTTCTCCTCGTTTTCGCCCCCCTGGGAGGCCCTCGTCGGCACCGTTGGATTCGCCCCGGAATTCTGGCCAGAACGCACACCAGGAGAGGTCCGGGGAGTAGCGGTATCGGTACCTCTATGTTTCCCCGAGAGTGACCTTTCGCCGGAGTGGCCTTTGGTGCGGGCACACCAGGATCCCCAGATGGCCGAGCGCGACGCGGTAGCGGCTGCCTGCGCGCTTTGATGTGGCTGCCTTGCGCCCTCTCAGTCCGCTGAGATGGAACCTCACACGTGTTTTACGGCTACCGGTAGCAATACAAACACACATAAATTGAGATGGAGCATCACACGTTTTTTGTTTTATGGCGACCAGCAGCCGTATAAAAACACCAGTAGCTATAACAAGCACGTTTTTCCCCAACAATCCTGTGGTGTTGGGTCCTCGTTTTAAAGAGACGGCCATCATCCGTTCGGTCCTGTCCCAGGTTTCTGCGTGCCCCCGAGTGCGTTTGTGTTTCTCCCATCCCTCGCTATCCGTTCTCTTTGCTCGCTCTCTTGCTCTTGGGTTTCCTGCGCCTCACGTTCCTCGTCCTTCTCCTTCCTCTCTGCCTCCCTCCTCCCCGCTGCGTCCGTTTGCCATCCTTACTCCACCTCGTGTCTCCTTCACGCCTTCTTCTCCCCGCCTCCCTCATGCGTTTCCGTCTCCCCCCTCCCTCATCCTCATCTTTCCTTTATTTCTTCCTCCCTCCGCCGCCCTCACTCAGCACCCTGCCCTAATCAGTGGTAGGAGGCCCAGCTTGAAAAGAAACGGATTTCCTTCAACATTTGCTCAAGGTCCTCCCCCTTTGTATCCTCCTGTCCCAGGCTTTGGCGTGCACCCGAGTGCGTTTCCGTTTTCCTCATCCCTCGCTGTCCGTTCTCTCTGATATGTTTTTCCTGCTATTGGTTCTCCTGCTCCTCCCATTCCACATCCACCTCCTTTCTCTCCTTTTCTCTCCTCCCCGCCACGTCATTTTGCCATCCTTACTCCACCTCGTCTCTCCTTCACGCCTTTGTCTCTCCGCCTCCCTCCTGCGTTCCCGTCTCTCCCACCCCTCGCTGTTCGTTCTCCCGGATCTCTGCCTTGCGCTTGTTCATCCTGCGTCTCCCGTTCCACGTCCACCTTCCTCTCCCACTCCCACCCCCCCGTTTCCTCTCGTCCCAGGCTTGGGCGTGCGTGCCCCAGAATGTGTTTCCGGTTCCCCCATCCCTCGTTGTCCGTTCTCTTTGTTCTCTCTCCTGCTCTTGGTTCTCCTGCGTCTCCCGTTTCACATCCTTTTGCTTCCTCTCCGCCTGCCTCCTCCCCGCTGCGTCATTTTCCCTCTCTCCCCCACGTCTCTCCTTCACGCCTTCCTCTCTCCGCCTCGCTCATGCTGCTTCGGCTTCCCAACGCTGCGAGACGGCCCAAGAGGTCCCCGCGACGGTCCGAATACGACGCAAGAGAGCGCCAAGACGGCCCCAGAAGCCGCCACGACGGCCTAAAGACGGCCCCAAGACAGGGGCAACAGCGGGGATCCAATCCGGGATCCAAACCGACATGTCCAGCCCAGATGTTAAGAGCCCCGGGGAGGCCCCCGAAGCGCCCCCCAAAGTCCTAAGAGGCCACCAGGCGACCCCCAACAAAAACCAGAGATGCACCACCCCCCAGAAACACCCAAGAGTTTCCAAGAACGTCCTTCAAAGGCATCCCAAAAACTCCCAGCATTGTTTTGCCAGGCTCGTAGGGGTTCTCGGGCATCCCCCCTTAGGCTGCCCTGGGTCCCCCTCTCGGGTTCCTTGCGCGACTTCCTGGAGTATTCAGCGCCTCCTGAAGAATCCGCCAGGCAGAACGCTCCCATATGGTGAC